GGAGAGATTATGACAATTCAGGTGATAAATAATTTATAGATAATGAAAATGTAGCCTTAGGAAGGTAACCCAAATGCCGCCTGGAAGTCTCGTTGCTGTGAAGTAAAAAGTAATATTAGGGGCTGGGGGGCGGGGTAGGGACTTGAAAACACCTACAGTTTCAATATGTTCGAATGAATTCATTTTCTGGACCGCGAAAGATTGTTTGCCAGCATCGTTGGCATTGCCCACAAATGGGCGGCTGGTTATATTAGCGGATGATGGGAATCATGCGGGTAGTAACAGGTATTATTTTTAATGTCCTGCTTGGAAATACACATACATGTGATTGGCAATAAGAGAATGTTTATCCACTTAAACTTTTGGATATTTTAAGTAAAGAAAAGCGCATCGAAACACTATCGGTCATAACAGCGTATATAAAAAACAAGACAAAGAGTAAAAAATAACAGAGCGAAAGAAAAGAAATAGGACCTACCAGTGGCGCCCTCCAGCCACCTCTTAAAATAAAAAGTGGTAATAGTTGGGTAATACCAGAGACCTGGCAATGTAAAGGAGACAGTACAGCTTGAGCTAGACCACGAATCTGACCAATCCTGTGACAAAAGGAACTGCGACGGTAAACCCAAACAAACATGGCTGATTCTAAGAACACACACGGTAAGTGGTGTGCAATAAACTACACTAATTAAAAGAACAGACGACCTGAATTAGCTTTTTATCATTTTCCTAAAGGTCCTGAAAGGTAAGTCAATTGGTGGAAAAACAGATCAAGCTTAAATAGAGTATTATTCAGAGAATATTTGTTGCAGAACACACACCTTTGTATTTATCATGAATGAAAGCGTGTTTTGTAACTTATGTTCTTAGTAGATCTATATCTAGATCTAGATCTAGATTCTAGATATAGATAAATCTATTGCTAATCTAGGTTTTAGATCCAGGCTTCTTCGCATCTGGAGATAGTTTCTTTGGTTTAGGTCTATCTAGATCTAATTCAGTGCTTATCTCCCAGTCAAGATCTAGATCTAGATTCTTTGGCGCTTCTTTTTGTATACAAATACAAATGTCAAACTTCCTTACAAGGTGAAGTGCTTTGCACAAGTTCACCAAAACAAGCAGAGGAAGGCAGGAATATTTCAACGTTTGTAAAACAAAGCAAATTGGATTGAACAGTTCACTTGCACCCGGAAATAGATATGGTGAGTTGTATATAAATCTCTCTTGCTCTTTCTTTCTCTCCATTATACTCCCTCTCGTTCTCTATTCCTCGTTTTTCCATTGCTGTTGTTGAATGATTTATGAAGCTACTTGTATTTGGTATGCCAAATTGTCAAGAATGTTAATGTTGCTATTGCTGCTCAAAATCGTTGTTGTTGTTGTTGTCTCCCTCCCCCTTTCTCCATATTGATGATGTTGCTGTTGCTGCAGCTCTTGTTAATGATGTTGTTGTCGTCGTCGTTGTTATTATTGTTCTCTCTCTCTCCCCCTCTCCCTCCCCCACTCTCTCTCTCTCTCTGTCTCTCTGTCTCTCTGTATCTCTGTATCTCTGTATCTCTGTCTCTCTCT